GCTGAGGATCGAACCCGGGCCGCACGCATGCCAGGTGAGCGCGCTACCACTTGAGCCACATCCCCAGCCCCTAAAATAATTTTTAATATGCTTTTTCTGTGTGTGTGATAATGGGGATTGAACTCAGGAACCCTTTCGAATGAGCTGCATCCCCAGCCCTATTTGTTTATTTAGAGACAGGATCTTGCTAAGTTGCCCAGATTGAACTTGAGATTCTTTTGCCTCAGCCTCCCAAGTTACTGGAATTACAGTGTGCACCGCTGCACCTGGCTTTATTAAAGTAGTTTTAAGAACAACAACAACAAATCATTTTTTTTTTACCCAATGCTACATGATTTATAGATACCTGGGGCACAGCATAGCAAAATTTGTTTATCATTTGCATTGTTGCACATGGAAATAAAAAGATATAATCTGAAAAGATTTTATTTAATTAGAAAACTGGACGGTGTCTTGAGACTCCCTTGGAAATTCATATTGAAGCAGGTAAAATAAATAATGAAGAAGACAGAACCATAGGAGTAGTTTACTTTAAAAACTCAGCATTCTCTAGGTTGCATACCAGAGAATTTCATTTAATGTATCAAGTATTCACTGGCAATAAATATTGAACACACTAAGAAGTTTTTGCATTCAATTTTTTGCTGTAAAGTTTCATTCCAGCCATATGAAACATCCTTTTAAGTTTTCAGAGAGACAAAGAAAACACAACCACATCATTTTCTTTAACAAAGATATATCACATTACTTAAAATATGTCCCCAGAGGCTAGGAATAATGTTAATAAAGGAGTGGAACTATGAGTAATTTAATATCTATTATATATACTTCGTTAGGTTTTCATAGATTTTGTGTAGTGGGGGAGGAGGAAAAAATGGTCTACAAGTCAAACAAGCTCAGACAATAAAATTATTTTAGCATAAAGACTTGAGGAGCAGGACAAGGGCTAGGGTTTCAGCCATTAATTTGAAAGAGTTTACTAACCTGCACCTTCACCGGTAAGTCCGCTGTACTAACTCCTGGGAGACAGTCTGCTATGGGTTAAATTGTGTATCTCCAAAATATCTATGCTGAAGCCCTAACCCCAGTATCTCTTAAGGTAACCATGTTTGGAGATAGGACCTTTAAAGAGGGAAATAAGTTTTAACTTAATTTTAACCCCATTTTTATGGGGTTGTATGGGTGGGCCCCAATTCAACATGGCTTATATGGATATCATGGCAGAGAGGAAAAGCCGCATGTGGACATAGCAAGAAGAGAGCCATCTGCAAGTCAAAAAGGAGTCAGAGGAAACCAACCTTGCTGCCAACTTCAACTTGGACTGGTCTATGAAATTTGGTAAATAAGTGAGTAGCTATAATTATTCTCATTTTCTAGATAACGAGCCTGAAACTTGGAAATTTCAAGCAACTTTCTCCTTTGTGTGTGTGTGTGTGTGTTTGTGTGTGTGTGTGTGTGTGTGTGTGTGTGTGTGAATGATGGTGGGGACTGAACCCAGCGCTTTATGCATATGAGGTAAGCACTCTACCAACTGAGCTATATCCCTTAAGCAACTTTCTCAAGGCCACATATTTAGTGAGTGGGGAGCTCTGGATCATCCCAACTCCAAAGCCCGGGGGTCTATTATAACACTGCTCTGGTGCTGTCCTTGCCCTTTTTGGGGACTCCTTCCACTCCACTATTTACTACTTTTGCTCTGCCCTTCCTTTCAAGTCATTCTATGGCCTTTGTTATCAGAGTATTCCCCTATAGTAATCCACCATAATGTGATCTATCTTCAGTAGCTTCTCTTACCTCTTATTGCTTGCCTTCTTAGAATCCCTAAGAAAAGGAAGGAAAAACTACAAACTCTCTCCCAGGAAAAATGCACATACATGCAGTATCTTGATCTCACTTATTCTTGATTTTTCTCTATTCCTCTTCCCACTATCATACTTTTAGGGGTCTTGATAAATAAATGGTTAATTACTCTTATATGTGTCAGTGAAGGCTTTTAGATTCATTCATTTATTCATTCATTCACTCATTTCATAGACATTTTTGAGTGTCTATTGTATATGAGACACAACACTAAGTCCTGTGGGGATTCAAAATGAGTTTTACAATACTCTGTTTTCAAGATGTTGCCAATCAGAGACAATAAGTTTCAATTTTGGTTTTGTTTTGAAATTCTCTTTCTACTAGATTCACTGTTTTAAGTCTGAGATTACAGCTGCTACCTTGTTACCATGATAGGAGATCCTGTCTGAGATTAGAGCCAATTCAGAAAAACTAACACAGAGAGGTACAGAGAATGAAACTGACTCATTCATGATAACACAGTTCTAACCCTGGCATCAAGCTGTTACTGAAACTATACTGGAACAACTATACTGGCGATACTGGCCTCTTTCTGTTACAAAGACCAATAAAGGATTCCCTCTGCACTTAAGTCAATTCCAGTTCTGTTTTCTGTTACAGGCTACCAATACAATACAGGCTACCAAATATAAGTCTTTCTATTTATCATTTTAACTTGCTTATCTCTTTTCCAGATACTGGGGTGACTCATAGCTACTTTGAGCCTTTGATACTTTCCAGTATCATAGATTCTTTGAGCTCCCTTAGAATTTTCTACTCAGTGCTGAAGGTGGGCATCTGGTCTACCTCTGGCCCAAGGCTGAATCTCTGAATCTCATCTTTCACTGAAATAACACTGTTATAGAATCTGCTGAAGCAGCAAGAGGAAAAGAGAAATCAGTAGTTAGACCAGTCTGTACATCTTCTTAGTTAGTCCAGAATGCATTAGGATGGAAGTCAAATGGACCCTTATTAGGAAGGTGGCTAGGACCAAGTGTTCTTCAAAAAAACCCAAGCTAAAACTTTCAGAATGAACCCAAACAAAAAAACCTACATGGGTTGGACCTCTATAGTGCAAGTACTAAGGTGGGGAAATGATGGTCAAATAGGGTTAGCCAGAGAGCACACTGAAATGGTAAGATGCAGAGGTTCTCAAGAGAGCCAGTGTCTAGACATTGCCATAATAAAGGTCAGTCAATAACCTAGAAAGAATTTAAGACAGTGCTAAATATCTTTAAAGTTCATTTATTTTAATTCCTGCTGTATCTGTCTTGACTAAAGGATCATGAAGATGGAGAACAGGGGAGGAGGTGAAGCACCTCAAGTGAAAGAATAGGCAGTTCCTCCCTGGTCACCCAAACTATTTGGCAGGCTCAGGCTGAGGGAAAGAGAGCAGGTTCAACTGAATGAGACATAGAAGTTTTGATTTGGGCTCAACTTGAATTCATGACTGCTCTAATATCTCAGTAGGGCCCAGAAGCTAAAGGATTTGCTGAGGGGCAGGCCAGGTAAAATCTTTAGAGTAAGTTTAAAAAGAGTGAAGAGAAAACAAAGCTGTTTGTGATTGAAACCTACCAAGTTTATCCAATCAACAAATAGGGTATACTGTAGTTGCCCTGGGGTTTGTCCACAGGCTTATCCTGAAGTAGGCTATAAGACACAGCACAGTGTTACAGCTCTTCTGTAAGGAGCAAGGATCGTTGAGGAAGTAGTTCTATGAGTTTAGTGCTGGGGAGAGTTCTGCTTTCCTGGACCAAATGTGGTGCTTTGATCCAAAGTGATATACCAAATGAATGCAGGGGCATCAGTGTGAAAGGCTCACTGATGTGGTTTACCATTGCTAATACATAACAATAACACCGAGATCAACTTTGGTAGTGTTTTTGCATTTTATACATTTTTTACAGAAAATGAACCCCTGATTATCTACACTCCAAAGAGACTGTTCCTTCCATTTTTACCTTAGGAACTCTGTGAATTCTGTAACATAGATAGACTTTTCATCTTTGTTTCAGCTACTGGAAAGCTAGGAGTCAAACTAGTATGTTCCCTTTCCTGTCTGCCAGTATATCTTCTATGCTACGGCTCAGTCTGGCTCCAATTTGATTACCATTTTTTGTCTTTCTATTATTTTTAAAAAATATTTTTAGTTGTAGATGGATATAATACCTCTATTTTATTTATTTATTTTTATGTGGTGTTGAGGATCAAACTCAGTTCCTCATGTGTGCTAGGCATGTGCTCTCCCATTGAGCTATAGCCCTAGTCCTCCTTCTATTATTTTTAAACCTCCTTCTAATTCACACAGCTTTGCGTGCCTATCTTTTTTTTTTTTTCTGGGTTTCCAAGAAACTTACTTAATCAGACTTTTTTACAAGACTCTAGAAACCTGCATTTTTAACAAGCTTTTGATTAAAAGTGTGGTTTGGGGAAGCAATTTTAACCTTCATTTTGTGTCAGATTACATAATACAATAAAATAAAATTAAAAGTCAATTAAAACAAAAAAAAAACCTTTTTGCAAATTATTAATATATACCTAAACACAATCCGGCTTGGAAAATGAAATAAATTGAAATCATACATATATAATTGTATTCATAAGATAAGTGTGCTAAATCAAAAGCTATATAATAATGAGGCATTAAAGGTCAAATCCAAGTACAAAGGAAGATACTCCTCTGAATTCCCATGTTTCATTGAGCATCAAAACCATCAATCTTTGGTTCTTTTCTTGTTCATTATTCTGTATTCATATTCTCTGCATCTGATTGGAATCCTGGATTTTATTTTATTTTCTGTGTGACATTCTCCACAGATATATATCATTGGCTGCTGCTTTGGGGTCTGAATGTCCCTCTGGATGTCCATAGCTAATACTTATACAAGTACAGAGACTTTTCCCCATGTTTCTAAACAGAACCCCTGTGCCTATCTTTTGTAAGCCCTTTTATTCTTTTTGCAGCAATTATACACAATCAGTATTACGAACAGAAAGGATGATTTACAATGCATCTATTGAATTATTCTCTGTGTGTAGGATCACATGTGCAGTTGATTCTGGAGACAAGAAATTCACACATTTCAAAATGCGGTAAACGACCCCTAGGATGCTAGTTTAGAAGGTTTTCTTAGGAAACAGCACCATGTGGCATAACTCACCTACCCCAGTAGTGTGATCTCCCTTAGGTCCTGTGTAGGAAGTAGGAGTTTCTCCCCTCCTCCTGTGCCAGCTGCTCCAGTTTCTTTTCTCCTGCGTAAATGCACATTCATCTTGATCAAATGTACACTCTCCAGGTGGAGGTGGAAGTCTCTCTGCAAGGAAACAGCAGGTGTTGCAATTGCTGAGACACTTCCAATGAATATGCATTCCATGGCCCCCTGGCAGCCCACTCTGCATGTCTGAGTGTTTTCTGGTCATATGCCAGGCATATGGAGAGGCAGCCCCCTTCTGGTGGTTCACCTACACCAAGCTCTTGCTTCCAGTTACTGTCTGAACCCCACCGTGGGTCTTGCCAGAGGCAGAGGATAATCAGAAATCTAGTCCAAAAATATTGGGATACTCTAAGAAACTTTCTCCCATTTGGGAATTTATCTGTGTGAAAGAGCTTATGAAGCTCTGAAAATTGGGGGTAAATTGCTTTTTTTGAAATATGAAAAATAATAAAATTGCATAATGCCGGTGATTTCTTCAGAAATTCACAATGAGTGAAGGATTTCCTCATAGTAATTCAATAGCTGCTTTGGAGGAAGAGACAAATGAGAGAACTAAATATAGTTTTGGAGGGGAAACAAATGACCCTTTCTCTGTGCTTCAGTATTCTTATCTATAATGTGGGAATAGTAATGGTATTATTCACATAATGAGTTTGTGAGGAATGAATGAGATGATGTATGTCAAGTATTTAGAACATGAAGTTCTCAGTAATTATTAGCAAAATAAATATTTGGAATTTTATTTTGTTGCCTAGAGCCTTATTTTTCATTCCTAAAGACAAATACTCAATTTTAATGCTGTCTTTAATTCCTTGAATATTATTATCACTACACTAGTGCTACCTCCTAACTTGGGGCATCATTGGTTGACCTTTATTGTACTTTCCTACATCTAGATTCTTAGCAAAATTTTAAATAGATAGCCTGTCTTTATATCTCTTGTGTGTTAATTATTTTACTTCATTTTATTTTATATACAGTACTAATTAATGAAGGCTCATTCCTCTTCTATGTCCCAAGTTGTAGATATTTTTATCTGTATTGTTCTTGCAGGATCTCAGAAATTAAGGGAATACAAACAAATTGTCTTTTAATTAGGTAAACAAGGATATTATTCTCCAGTACCAGGTTGATTCTACAATTTGCCTATTTGTTGAAGAGATGGCAATCCTATGGTTTAGGGTGCAATGTAATTAGATTCAGACAAATGATCTGGCTTGTGTTGGGCTCCATTTTCTCACTGGACATCATGTCCAACATGCAGCTAGCTACCATGACTTTATTTTGTCACTATCATCAATGCTTGGGCTATTGTTTCAGTGTCATTTGATTTACTTAGGAAATATTATTCTGTTACAATTTAAAAATTATGTTTAGCAAGTATCTGTGAAATAAGAATTTCATCAATATGACTTAAAATGCATTCTGTAAGATGACTATGAAAAAAATAACAATACTAATGAGAACAGAAGACATTTGTTTTTTTTTTTTTTTTTTTTTTTTAAACTCTCTCTTTATTTATTTTTTTAGTTTTTTTCGGCAGACACAACATCTTTGTTTGTATGTGGTGCTGAGGATCGAACCTGGGCCGCACGCATGCCAGGCGGACGTGCTACCGCTTGAGCCACATCCCCAGCCCCAAGACATTTGTTTTTAAAGCACTGTTCTGTGCCAAGTTCTATGTTAGGGAATGTATGTGTATTACCCTCAATATTCAAGTAGATATTACTACCTCCCTTACAAATGAGAAAAAAAGGATTAAGTCCCATGTACCAAAAAACATTTGTACATCTGAGTCATTATTTCTAAATTCCAAAGCCTACTACAAAGCTCTATAGAGAGGGATTTCTGTCAACAAAAGCAAAGGCTGGACTAACATAGATTGAATGTATGATTTTCTTATAGAAAACAGAAGTGTCTTTGACAGGTGAGGGAGACAAACAGATGAAATGACTGCTCTCTTACCTGGAGACCAGCAGCTTCCCAGTTGTATTGTAATATCATCCAGGGCCACAAGACCACAGTCCCAAAAACTTTTGCATAGGCTCATAAAAACTACCTGCAATTCATAAATATAAAGTTATGAATTCTGTTAGCTAAAAATTGGAAACTCTTAGAACATGGGATTTACTTGGCACAACAGGCCTGCATAAGCAGTTGTAAATGCCTCTTAATTGCCCATAGGAGGAACAGGACAGTGGCATGAAGAACAGTTACCATTTATATGTGACCCTGGAATTAGTCATATTATTTTAAGCAGAGTCAACATCATAATATTGTGTATACTTGTGCAAAAAGTTAGAGACATTCTTTAAAGAATGGAGAGTAAAAGCGAGGAAAGTAAGAGGTTAACTGGGTGACAGAGAAAAGCCTGTGAGGTTTTAAATATCTTCCCTAAATAATTCACAAAGTGCATACAGAGTTGATGGTTTTCCAAGCATTTTTCAAACACTTCCAGTACAAACACTATTGATTTTTTTTGGAAATGACTTTCTGGCAATGTGCTTTATTCACATTGTGAATGAAGTCCCAGTGATTTGCCATCTGGAGGTTTATGTTCTATTTCCAAGGCAAAGATCTATGTCCCTAGCTGGTATTGCTAATAAAAGCCCTAACCAAAGTTATTTTATCAGTCCAAACATTTTTATTGTTGTATGTGAAGGAAAAACAAATCTATAGCATAAGTTATGAAAGTCAATGTGTGTGTGTGTGTGTGTGTGTGTGTGTGTGTGTGAGAGAGAGAGAGAGAGAGAGAGAGAGAGAGAGGAAAAGAGGGAGAATAAATATGTTTGTGGGATTTCTTCCCATTACGTCATTTTAAAGGGTACTTTTCATATACAGAATGATCAAAGAGGCACTTATTAAAACATTTGTATTAGGTTTTCACTGTACTTGTAGTTACAAACCTTCTTTGTGGGTATAACTTAATATTTAATTAATGCAAGGTCATACTGTTCATGTTCAACCCCTCAATTACAAATCTCAATTCAAAGACAAAGAAAGATGTGACAGAAGCTAAAACTCACCTTATAGATAATAAGAACATTTGGCTTTATTTTTAGGTTCTAATATTCAAAATGTTATGGCTTGAATTTGTGTTATTAGTAGTGTCCCTTTGTACTCTGATGATGAGATTCATTAGAATATATATATATATATATATATATATATATATATATATATATATATATTTATTTATTTATTTGCTGGGGATTGAACCCAGGACCTCATGCATGTTACACATGCACTCTACCATTGAACCACATCCCAGCCCTAGAATACAGAGTTTATTTTAATAGAAAAATTTTAAAATCATATGACAGCTTACCACTATACAAAATATAAAATGTCTTAAGCTGAGATCCTCAGAATAATTCTAATTGTATGATGTAGAAAGGTTTACTTGCACTATATTTTTATCAGTTTAAATAATAAATAGGATAGTATGGTGATGTAACAATGCATAACTAGCTTTGTATATTTATAAAGAACAAAATTATGGGTTTTTGTTGTTTGTTTATCTCTTAAATTTTCATCTTTAGAGATTCTATTCAAATTTATAAAATATTTTACTTGAGGGTTTATGCTTGGGAACTTCCAAATGAGGAGAAGGTAAAGGTCTGAACGCTACCACATTTTATCAGTAATTCTTATTGTTATATGGGAAAGAATATTAATCTGTCTCATAATTTATTGAACTAAATGTGCTGTAGAGAGAAAGCCTTGACTTTCCTTTCATCAGCTTTAAAGTCCATTTTTCATAAAGAGAGTTAAAAAGTACATTTTCAAAATGAATATGAAGTAGTGAAAGGATTCACCATGTAAATCTTTCCCTGCATTAAAATTCAAACAATTGGAATGGTAATATATTTGAAAGAGGAGAAATATTAACATGCTTTCATATGTTTACTATAGCATTATTTTATAATGACCATAAAACCAAACAAGGATGCAAACAAGGTAATGAAACAACACACAATTCCAAAAGGAGAGAAAATAAACTCTGAGACATGGGGAGGGAGGGGAAAGTTCTGAGGAGTGATATTGGCCAAATTATGCTGTTATATTATGTATTGTGTGCATATACTAATAGGTAACAACAAATCCCATCGATACATACAACTATAATGCACCAACAAAAAATGTGGGGGAGAAACAGAAACAATAAAAAAACTATGATACAACATCTAAGAAATAGGGCCTTATTAGGTCCAAAAGCTTGTGAATATTATTCAGTTGTACGGAAATAAATTCCTCTCAAAATATTAAGTGGAAAAATATGGTTAGAGTAAATAAAATAAAAATGAAATAAAATAAGACATAATCATACCTAAAACATCTAAAACTTCAGTGTGGGTATAGCTCAGTGGTAGACTACTTTCCTAGCATGTTCACGGCTCTGGTTTCTATTCCCAGAATCACACAAAAATAAATAAAAATAAAAACTAAATAAAAAAAGAAATACGTGCCAGCAGCTTAGGAGGCTGAGATAGAAGGATCGTGAGTTCAAAGCCAGCCTTAGCAATAGCGAGGTGCTAAACAACTCAGACCTTGTCTCTAAATAAAATAGAAAATAGGGCTGGGGATGTGGCTCAATGGTTGAGTGCCACTGAGTTCAATCCCTGGTACCTCCCCCACAAAAAATAAAAAAATAAAAATAAAAATACATGGAAAATGTCTGGACAATTTATCAAATGTATAGTAATTATATTAGGCTTCCTGAGTGGGGTGGCACATGCCTGCAGTGACAGCTACTGAGGAGACTGATGCAGAATAATTACAAGTTTGAGACCAGCCTGGGTAACTTAGTGAGACCCTGTCTCAAAATAAAAAATAAAAAGGGATAGTAATATAGTTAACAGTAAAGCACCTCTGAGTACAATCCCCAGTACTAAAAAGAAGAGAAGAAAAGAAAAGAAAAAGAATTATGTTAGGGTCATAAAATTATGGACACTTAATAGCTTCCTTCTATTTTCTAAACATTGTGTAACTTATCATATTTATATTTGAACAATAGTAAAAAGAATCAAGATAGCTATAATTAAGATGTAGAATAAGGAGTTAGTATTTCCTACACTGGAATGGTTTGTTTGTTTGTTTGTTTATTAGTACCAAGGTTGAAGCCAGGGGTGCTTAACTGCTGATCCACATCTCCAGCCATTTTTTATTTTTTATATTTTATTTGGAGACAAGATCTTGCTAAGTTGGTCAAGGCCTTGCTATGTTGCTGAGGCTGGCTTTGAACTTGTGATCCTCCTGCCTCAGCCTTCAGCATGGCTGGGATTACAGGTGTGTGCCACCATGCTCAGCTGGCATGGTTTATTATGGTAGTTGTGAGGTACATATGTCTATTTAGATTAAAATTAAATAAAATTAATTTAAACAATCACATTAGCCACATGAAAAACACTCAATACGGCAGCCTCACATAGCTAGTAGCTAACTGAATTGAACACAGCAGGTATGTAACATTTCCTCATTGCAGAAAGTTCTATTAGATAGATCTCCCTGGTTCCTGTGCTCATTCCAAATAACCTGTGACTGCCACAGTGGGTTGAATGAAACATTAAAGATGTTTTGGACAACTGCAGGCCACTAGGCTGTTCTTATAGCTTTCTCCATACCTAGAACAATAGCCAGGTCACCTGTTGCTCTGTCTGATAAAAGATCCCCAAAGTCAGTTATCTACTGACTAGACTCAAACAATGCCTCAGGCCTCAAGTTTGTTTATTGTTGTCTGTCAGCATTACGCCATGCAAAAGAAATATGACCAGATCAGCTTGTTTGGTCTAACACATCAGATTTTCCACCTAGCTATTGACAATGCTCACAATATCAGCTCCAATTTGGGGCCACTATTTTGCATCTTGTGGGATACTTGAGGTTGGTGACTAAGCAAGGTGATGACTGGACGTAGTTGAGACAGGACAAAAGAATCAAATGTCTTGATGTGTTCTTTAAGAATTCTTTCAATTCTCTCTGGGTCTAATTAAGAATGTGACAAGAAGAGAATCAGCCATAGTCTAAATCCTTGAGGGGATTAATCTCTTATTTACAGATTATTTAAAAAAAAAAAACAATGTTTGTCAGTTCAGGCAGAATTTCAAAGCAAGCAGAACATGTCTAAAGAAGGGGGAAATGTCTAAAAAGCTTGAATGTATATTAATATCTATGTAAGAAGGGGAAGATGGCAGATGGGAGAAAGTGATGTCCCTTAGACAGGTGATCCTTATCTTTGCAAATCTCTTTTAAAAAAAAATTTATTTTTTAGTTGTAGTTGAACCCAATACCTTTATTTTATTTATTTATTTATATGTGGGGCTGAGGATCAAACCCAGGGCCTCACACATACTAAGCGAGTGCTCTACTGCTGAGCCACAACCCCAGCCCCTGCAAATCTCTTAAAAGTTAGGACAAATAAAATTTTTGTAAATTGATCTGTTTCAGTGCATTAAAGGTCTCGGTCCTTAGGTACTAGAGATACTTTAAATTTTTTGTTTTGATGGAGAATATTCATTATTGAGAAAACCTACCTAGATCAACTTTGTATACACAAATAAGCAGTAGCTGAAGAGCTATATGACTACTTTTTTCAAATATTTTGTAGTTGTATATGGACAGAATGGCTTTAGTTTGTTTATTTTTATTTGGTGCTGAGGCTCGAACCTAGTGCCTCACACATGCTAGGCAAGTGCTCTGCCACTGAGCTACAGCCCCAGCCCAGCTATATGACTATTTTGCAAATAATAAAGTCAGATAAGGATCACCAGTATTACGTGGCGCAGGGTTTCACACATGCTAAGCCTGAATTCCATATGCAGCCTTTTTATTATTTTATTTTGAGATAGGGTCTTACTAATTTGCCCAGGCTGGCCTTGAACTTTGGATCCTCCTGCTTCAGCCTCCTGAATAGCTATAATTACATGTGTGTGCCACTGTGCCCAACTTGATTTACTATTTATTGTACTAAAAATACATATTGTATATCCTCTTTTATCCACAACAGGTATTTCAATCGCAGCATGATTAATTTTGGGGGGCCAGATAATTCTTCGCTGT